TGAGCTTGTAAAGGTCCTGGGTAATATCCAACATGTTGCCGTGGTCCCAGTCCTGGCGCAGGCACCGGTCAGGCCATTCCAGGGCGTTGAGCAGTTCCTCCCAGGGGGAGCAGGGCTGGCTGGCAACTTCCTCGATCCGGGCCAGATATGTGGCCAACCGGAAACCGTGGTAACGGAGCAGTTCCTGCCTGGTGTATTCGCTTGTTGAGCCTGTTGGGTGACTCATCCTATTTCTCCTTCTAAATGTGCAGCCAATTTAGGTTTGGTTCTATTGATGACCGCTCTTGGTCAACGTTACGCGGTTCTTGAGAACGGACCCGTTTCAGGTATTAGGGTTACGGGTCCGGCCTCCGCTCCGTTTTGGGTAGCTTTTCTCGTGAAAGGTGCGGGAGAGCATTCACACTGAGAGCGCTTTCTCGGGCTGTACCACATTTTTCCGCGGTTCATGCAGTTCATGTAGTGGCCCCGAACCGCGGGCCTTGGGCTTGCGCTATCTGATCAGGATGGAATACTGGGCAATGGCCGCCTCTTCATTGGTGTCTCCCTTTGATGCCCACAGCGCCAGCGTGTAAACTCCAGGCCCTGCGTTTTCTATCAATCCTCGCAGATCGGCAGATACGTCAAAGTGAGATGGGCCCACTTCCCACCGGTTACAGGTTATTAAAGGAATTGTGGATCCGGTTCTCCGGAGGTTGCCGTTATTGCGGTACGCCCGATCTACCGTCTTTTGCCACTCCCTTACTGTTCGAGGCTTCGGGGAGTTGGCTGGAAAGTATTCCGGCCTGGGCAGGCGATCAATCTCAACGGCTGCCAAATCCTCCTGCCAATACTGGCCCGGCGGGAGTGGGCGCCGGAGGGCTGCTACAATCATTCCGGTGTCATAGCCGTTGACCTGCATCAGTTGACCCACTGTCAGGGAGCGGGGAGGCGGGTCGTACCAGAGGTACGCCTTCAGGTCGTCGGGCCTGTTGATGCTGACGTCGTTCTTCAATCGGCCCTTGAAGCGCAGAGTCCCTCCGGAAAACGACGGCAGGCCTCTGAACTCCACGTAGTCCCCCTCAAAATGCTGGGCAACTGTCAGGTTAGTTCCGTTCCAGGCAATGCCGAGGCCCACTTTCCGGAACCACCTGTTCAGAATGTTCCGGCGATGGCCGGGGCTGTCCATCAACGTCTTCATCGCCAGGTCCAGCTCCCCGGGCACGTCGGTGATGCCCCGCCCGCCAACGCGCAGAGCCTGGTAGACATTTTCTGCATTGGTCTGGTAGCCCCCGGCCCTGCTGTAGCGCATGTAGGGTTTCAGTCCGGCCAGATTCCAGTGGGAAGCGTGCCCGGTCCGGAGGCAGTCGTCGGCATGGCGCTGGGCCGCCGGATTTTCGCTCCGGCGAACCGGTGAACATCCCGCCTGCCTTCTTGCCCTGTTGATCAGCTCCAGCATGTAAAGGTAATCAGCATCTTCCACCGCCCGTTGCGGCTGTAAGGTTGTCAGCGAGAGGGATTCCTTTTGCCGAAAAAGCATCATCTAATAACCTTCCTTTTCTTTTACAGGTCCTTACCGCACCCGGCGGGCACTGCGAAGAATCTTGTCCCGCAGTTCTTCCTGGGAAAGCCCGGCGAAAGCGGGGTCCGACCGGAACTCGTTGCAAACGTCTATTCGCAGGACGAAGGCCAGTTCCTCAAGGAAATAGTGGACGTAGGCGGCCTTGCGGCTCATCCAACCCCCCTCGCAACGCTCGTCCTCAAACACGTACTGGAGCGCGCTACTGCTGTCAGTGGGCCAATCAACTAGAAATGGGGCGTCCTTCACCGCTATCACTTTCCTCGCATTCCCATCCGTCCGTCCGTGCGCCACCCAGTTCTCCGCGATCAGGTCCTTCGTGAGCAGACCACTGAAGCGCTGGGTGAAGTAGTCAATGAGAATCACCCCATCGTCGCTCTGCAGGTTGTACGCCCCGGGCCCGGACCTGAAGGTGGCCGGTATATTGATCGAGTACTCTATCCCTCCGGCGGCGAAGTTCCGGTTGGTCCAGGGTATAGCGGTTGGGTAAGGCGTGGGCAAAGGAGTAGCCGTCACAGTGGGTGTGGGCGTCGCCGTGAGTACCGGCGTTGCTGTTGGGGTCGCCGTCGGCGTTGCCGTTGCCGTCGGAGCAGGGCTTGGCGTAGGGGTCAACGTTGGTCCCGGCGTAGACGTCGGTGGAGGAGTGGGCACGGGCGTCACCGTTGGCGCGGATATTACGGCCGGGATCGGTGTGGGCAGCAGGGCCAGTTGAGCTGCCGCACCCTGGCCAAGGACACATCTGGCTGAAACGGCCGGCATGGGGAACGAAATGCGGCTGACCGGCACCGCCAGACCTACCCCGTCTATTGGCACCCCTCCGGCATCGCGCACCACGTGGGTGTTTATCCCCACTACGCAACCCACCGCATTGATCAACGGCCCTCCGCTGCTGCCTGGGTTCAATGCGGCATCGACCTGCAGCAAGTTATTCCCTTTCCCCGACAGGATGCCTTGGGATATGGTCGGGTCAGGGCCAAGGATCTCAGCCAGGGGATATCCGATTGCATAGACATCCTCCCCCAGGCTCAGAGCGTCGGAGTCCCCGATGGGCAGCGGGGTCAGGGCCGGGGGGTTAAGCATCTCCAGGTAGGCCAGGTCCTTCGGAAGATCGAGCTGCCGAACAATCGCGCGGCGGCGCGCTCCCCCAACCAGGGTCACAACTACTTCCCGGTACTCGCCCACCACGTGGGCATTTGTCACCACGAAACCCCGGCTGTCCACCACGAAGCCGGAGCCGATGCTTTCGCCAGCGGTGATCAGCACCACCCCGGGGCTGACCGCGCGGTAGACATCAGCCACCGATGGCAGAACCCTCGACGATGCCCCAACGGGAGCCGGAACTCCGGTGGCCGCCGACATCGCTGTGGGCGTCGGGATCCAAGAGGATCCGGTGCCAGCGCCAGGCGCAACCGCCGGTGCAGGCTCAAGTGTGGGCAGCGGAACGGCAGCCACCGAGGAGACCGGAGACGAGGGTCCCCGAAAAGCAAGGCTTGGAGAAGGCTCCTGCAGTGAGTAGAACAGAATCATGCCCAGCACGTAGAGCAGTCCTACGGCCACCAGGACAACGCCCCAGTTGCGGCCCTGTGCTTTCAGGAGGCCCAGCAGCCCGTCCCACCAGTAGGTGAAGGACGTACCACAGATATCGCAGAAGCGGGAGTAACCATTCACATGGTTGGAACAGCCCGTACACTCCATTGGGTCAACATCCTCCCGTCAGGTTTCTCCTCTTGTTCAGGAACTTATCTCGCTCCACACTTGCCGCCAGGACACCGTCGAAGGACGGTTACTGACGGACGCCGCAGTGGCGGCAGAAACTGGCCTGCTGGTTGATGACACGGTTGCAGCTGCGGCAGTTCCTCTGCTGATCGCTCAGCGGCTTCATGCAGCGGGTGTTCTGGAAGAACACCTGGTCCGCCGCAGTCTGGTGACTGCAGTGCCGACAGCTAATCAGTTGCACCACCGGAGGGGCATTCCGTAATCTCCACGACGGAGTCTTTATGGGTGTCCGAGCCCGTCTGGCAAAGGGAGTCCGCGCCGATAAAAGTCCGGTCGGCGCTTGGCTCAGCCGGCTGGTCGGAACGGCATTTGGCAGAGCGCCAGAGGCCGGGTCGGGACGAACCGCGGTAGCCGGATATACCGGTTTCGACGGCGGGACCGAGGAGAGCAGCACTGCCGGCTCTGCCACCTCCCCCTGCTGTCCCAGGGCCCGGCAGCTGCCGCACCGTGAGTTGAAGATCTCGCTGGGACTGGGCAGTTCCTCGTGCAGGTACCGCCGGCCCCTGGCAAAGGTCTCACGAAAATAAAACTGCCAGTCGGGATGCAGCTTCTTCCAGTGATCCCCCACCGACGGAACCAGGTCACATACCAGCTTCCTACTCCGCATCCGCTCCGCAAAGCTGTCCCCGGGGGCGCCATCAAAAGGGTGCCGGCCCTCCATTACCAGCTTGAACAGCACTACTGCCAGCGCAAACTGGTCATGGGCCTGGTCTCGAAGAATGCAGCCGTACCGCTGTTTGTGAGGCCGACGGACCACCAGGCAGTTGGCAGCCCTGCACGGCTGATGCATCAGGCCCAGAAGTCCCGGGTCCGTGTACTCCTCCCGTCCCACCGGGCAGGGATACACAACCCCGCGCTTCTGGTCCCCCACCTGGAAGGAGTCTGCGTCCAGCACCGCCACGTGGCCGTTGGTTCGCACCAGCAGGTTCTGTTCGTTGATGTCCCCCAGCACAAAGCCGTGACTGTGTATTCCCTTCAGCATCGCCATCAGGTTGGACGCGATCATCTCCAGCAGGCGCCGCAGGGCCTCGGGCTCCATGGGGGCAAAGGACCGGTTCCGCCGCTCCCGGTTCCAGTAATGGAAGATGGGCAGATAGTCGGAACCGCCCACCCGGGGCATCGTGTACCCGGCCAGCTTCGCCTCGCCAGCCCGGTTGGCCGGCAGAGTAAAAAGGACATCCCGGGGCCAGGCCAACACCAGGTTCTCCCGCGTATCCTGGGTCGGAGGCGCGGCCAGGATCAGCGCCTCCAGCTTGTTGAGAAGGTGGGTTCCCTCCGGATCCCGCAACGACCTGGGCTCGTGAAACAGCTTGGCCACATCCCGGCGGCCGTGGCTGTAGACCGAACCCTGACCGCCGCTGGCGATCAGATTTCCTGCTTCAACTGTCACCTGACCCCGAGGGTGAATGTAATAGGTCTCAGGCAATACTCGCCTCCTTCAGCCTGCCCCGGGCCCGCGCGCAGCACAGCGCGGTATCCGGCAGCGTAATTTCGTCTCAGATCCGGCCTCAACATAACGAAGAATTGGAGGCGGGCCCGGCGTCCTCGGCCACTGCCGCCACCAGGGGGACGTCCCGGCCCGTCGGCACAATTGGCCCAGCCTCCTGCGCAGGCAGCCCGTCGCGCTCACCGATGCGGCCGCGGACCAGCTCCTTCAGGAGAATGCCCTTTATACCTCGCCCCAGTTAGTGGGGGCAGCCAGCTGAACCCGATCGCTGGGCTGCGACTGGGACACCGAGGACATTGAGCTGGATAGCCACTCGAACATTTCATTGAACTTCAACCCCTGCAGGTGAACCGCTGAAGTGCCGGGAAGCATCCCGTTCAGCCATGCCATGTCCGCGCCACCAACACCCACCGGGAAGAACTTGACCTGCCCGGCCTGGTCCGACCGCGCCAACCGGGCTAGGGCCCGGTCCAGGTCGGGTTTCGTGTCGTGCTGGGGATAGCCATCGGTCATGAACCATATCCAGGGCCGGTAGTAGGTAATGCCGTTGGCACGGTAGGACTCCTTGCGCTCCTCCACCATATCCAGGGCCTTCTCGACAGCAGAGGAAATTACCGTGCCGCCGATGACCTTCAACTCGGGCGGGTCGAAGCTGTAAACCGTGCTGAAATCATGGATCAACGTCGGCTGGAAGCTGTAGGCCAGCACCGCAATCTCCGTCCTCAGAGCCGCCAGATCGTCGCGCTCCAGGCATTCCCTGAAGTATTGCAGGCCCTGGTTAAGCTGATCGATGGGGTCCCCACTCATGGAACCGGACACGTCCAACACCAGCACACAGGCGCAGCGGGGTTCGGGGTTATCCGCAAATTCAATCGCTTCTTCCAAAGGTGTAGCCATTTGGTACTCTCCTTAATTTATGATCGTCTCTTCTAACCAACCACCACGTGGTATGTGGGTGTTCAGGGCGCCAGGTAACATTGGTCACGAAAATTCTGATTCAATCTGCCGACCGGCACCGGCGTGGAACTGAGGACTGGCAAGTAGCCTGGGAATGTCCCAACCTTTTTCAGCCTGTATTTCCGGTTGCCAGGTCTACGGCTGCCCCCAAAGCCGACGGAGAGCCGGCTTGTACTTCAGATGGAGACCGTACAGCAGCAGCCCAAAGTGGATTACTACCAGATGCAGCAGCCCGATCTGGGGAACGGGCACACCGAACACCGTATTTACCGGATTGTCCAGAATGGGGTACGAAGCCAGTTTGAGCGTCAGCAACGGCAGTACGACGATGATCAGGTGGGCAAGAACTGGATTCCGCTTCCTGAATATCTCTATAAGACTGAAGAAGGACAACCCGACGGTCAGGGCTGGCGTAACCACGAACAGAAGGGTCCCCAACGGGTTCTCTTTCAGCCAGACGCCGATAGCATCGTTGAACACGCCGTGCCCCACCAGAGCGCTGCCTGTCATCGACCCGGACGGCCCCACCGGCATCCAGGGGAGCAAGATAAACAGCAGGGCAAACCCCGCCATTGCCGTCCGGATCTGGTCCTCCCTGCTCTGATTGGATTGGCACCTGTTCACCGTGGCCCAGAAAGTCGAGCCAGCGCTTTTTACCCTTTGCATAAGTTCTCCTCCTATTGGCTGTGCACTTCACCGGTGCTGAAACGCTGCTGAAGCAGCTCGGACCTGGACCTGAAGAGTTCCAGATCGTCATGCAGTTGGGTGATGGCGTAAGGTATGGTCTGAAACTCCTGGTGCAGCGCCGAAAAGTTGGCGGAGAGCCGCAACTTGGTGATTTCCAGGTTCAGTTGCCGCAGTTCCTCCATAATTGCATTTGACTGGGACAGTATGTCTTTGGCCTGGAGTTGCCACTGGCGGTACAACTCCTTTTCCTCCTGGTCCCGTATCCGGAACACCGCCCTCCGATCGGCATTGGGCATCAGGCTGGTCAGTTCCGTCTGATGCTCAAAGTAATCGGCAGCAATGGCGCCCACCCGGTCAACCCTCCAGCGAAACCGCTTGTGGGAGTCGATGGCGAGGCCATACCTGTTGGACCATTCGCCGTAGAACTGCTCCACCGCCCGCGTATATTCGGTTTCCTGAATTTCAAGCTCCTCTCGCATCCGGTCATTGAATTCGGACGCTCCGGCAGCCGCCAGGTCCGCAGGACTGTTGTACGACGGGTATCTGTCGGGGGTGGGTTCGGGCTCCGCCGTTACCGCGGGCCCTTGTCCACCTGGCGGGTCGGAGCCCTGATCTTCCCCGGCATCGGGTTGCGACGGAATGCCCGGCGCAGAGTCGTCCGACTCCCCTGACCCCCCCAGGCCGCCAACCTGTGGGGCAGACATGGCAGCCTGGCCGTCCTCGGGCGTGAAGCTGATGTCCCGGCGGGGCGGCATTGGCGGCACGATATTGGCGAAGGAGTCATCAAGCCTGCCAGCAGTCCGGTTGGTGCGCGTCACCTCTTCATTCAGCCGAACGCCGGGGCGCTCGACGGGGTCTTGAACGACCTGGCCGGCGGTCTGGAGAACTACTATTGAACCTACCAACAAGGCGATGGCGGCGAGTCCTGTCTTGAATAACATGGAAAATCCACCCCTCACGCTAAGGTGCGTATTGTCTCGCTTTGGGCAGCCTGGCTATCACAGGGCGAGGTTGTATCTAACCGGTGGTGTCGGGTGTGGCATGAGCCGTGGGTCATGCCGGGCGCGCATTCCGATGTGGCACTGCGGGGAGAGCTTTTCGGCGTACCAGCTCCTAACGGGAGAGGCCAAGGCTGGGGTGACGCAGCCTCTTCAGGGCATTCATCTCGATCTGCCGCACCCGTTCCCGGGATACACCCAGTTCCTTGCCCACCTCGGCCAGGGTCCATTCCCGGTCATCAAGGAGGCCAAAGCGCAGGATCAGCACCCGCTGCTCCCTTTCCGGCAGCGTCGCCAGCGCTCCGAGCAGAAGGTCGCTAATCTCAGCGGCACAGACCTCTTCCTCGGTGCCCTGGCTGGGATCGGGGGTGATATCGGCCAGTGTCTTTTTGTTGTCTTCACCCCTGGGCATATCCAGTTGCACCGCCGGGCGGGTGGCCAGGTCAATGAGGTCCAGTCTTTCAACCTCCATGCCCGATGCCTCCGCCACCTCTTTGCGAGTAGGCTCCCTCCCCAGGTCCTGCCACAACTGCTCCCGGACTCGACCCGTCCGATTCTTTTCGGAGACCATCCTCTCCGGCAACCGGACCAGGCTCCTCTGGGAGGCGCTGTAACGGGACATCGCCTGCCGAATCCACCAGACGGCGTAGGTGGAAAACCTCGTGCCTTGCCGGTGGTCAAATTTCTCCACCGCGTGCATCAGCCCGAGGTTCCCCTCCTGGATGGCGTCCATCGACAGCCCCCCCGCGGGGTACTTCCTGGCCATGCTGACCACCAGGCGAAGATTCGCCTCGGTAAAGTGGTTCCTGGCCCGCCGGCCCCTTTCCACCAGCCTCCTGAACCCCTCTTCGTAGGAGAAGGCACGCTCAACGATCATCAGGTCCGTGGCTACCGTGTCCAAGGTCCCGCCAAGGGCGCCCAGCTCGTAATGGCCGAAATCGCCCAGAACTTCCTGCGGCAGGATCGAGGTGTCCCGGGAGAACTGGAGCAACTGCTCGCGCACCGTGTCCTCAGCCACGTTCACGGCGTCGGCGACAGAGGCCACCACCCCATCATCCACATGGCGGTCCAGGACCGTCCTCAGTTCCGGGTCGCTGGCCACCTGCTCCAGGTTGACACTGTTGTAGACGGGCAACAGTCTTCCCAGGGCCTGAACCAGGGGAGCGGCCCCCGCTATTCTGCGGAGCAGTCCCCGGGTCAACTCTGCGGTGACCCATGCGGACTCCCCGTCCCTCTCGTCCTCTTCCAGCCTCTCCGCGGTCTCCCTTCGCCGGGCCTGGTAATGGACCATCGCTTCGATTTCCTGAGCCAGGGATTTCTCCTGGGCGGCGTCCAGCAGCGGCACGGCTCCTATCTCCCTGAAGTAAAGGGACACCGTATCCACCAACGCCGGCCCCTCTTCGTCCCAGTCCTCTCTAACAACGGGGCCGTCGTCCTCGTCCCAGTCCTCTTCAGCAACGGGGCCGTCGTCCTCGCCCTCCCAGTCCTCGACCATCTCGACCAGTTCGGATTGAAAATGCAAGCTTCGCACCTCTTCTTCTATCTCGACCATCTCTTCTATCTTTTCCATACCTTCCGACTCTTCCATGACTGAACTTCCCAGGTAGTCAATCTCTTGCAATGCTTTCCTCCTCTGGCGATTCTGGCTCTGGCGATTCCGAGTGGGGCCGTCACTGAATTGGCAATCCATGAACCTTTCTTTCCGGTTGCAGGCGCACGGCTTCCTCAGCTGGCTTTCCCTGGAAGCTTTCCCGCCTTACCCTTGGAAAAATCGGGACAAGCCAATACCGGGACAAGCCAGTACCAGGTCGGGACCGGCGCTTAACCGAATATAAATGAATGAAGGGGGACAAAGCCCCGGGTGCTCACAGGCACCAAAAATGAGAAGGCTTACTGCCTCTGGCGCTTAAGAGCGCCTATTGAAGGGGGACAAAGCCCCAAGTGCTCACAGGCACTAAAATTTCGTCACAGACCCAATGGTCTCAGTCTAGTCCAGTAATGGCCCTCTGTCAAGGGCTTTTTCAACACTTTTTTGAAATTCATTTGTTCAATCTCTCTTATGCCTTTAGACGCGCCTGCTCTCTTCGTCCACGTCCCTGTTTCATCCGGCTCTGCAGTCCAGGGTCATTATCAGGCAGTGGCAGTGCCCTCAAGATTTGGGCTGGTAGTCTGACCGGAGGGTGGCGTTGACGTCAGCCAGGGCAGTGTTGTAGTCGAGCCTGGCATAACAGGCACTACGGGCCAGCACCGCCAGGCCGGCCAGCCTTATGGGTGACCAGTGCCATTATCGGCATCGCTGTCGGCACCTGGCTTCAACCCCTTGCACCTATCATCATGGCTAACCAGACATTAAAGCGGATTATCTGGTGTTGTTAATCTCCTCTCCGCGCAGGGCAATCGCGTCTTAATGATAGACTTGGCAGGTAAAGGGAAGTGTGGGAGAGAGGGGAGGTAGCGAGGGGTTATGGAAGAAGGGCGGCGGCGGTCGTTGGTGGATTACTTTGAGAATCTGGAAGACCCGCGGATTGAGCGCAGCAAGCGGCACTCGCTGCTGGACATCATCACCATAGCCATCTGCGCCGTTATCTGTGGAGCGGACACGTGGGTATATGTTGAGATGTTCGGCAAGAGCAAGGAAGAGTGGTTCCGGACCTTTCTGGACCTGCCCAACGGCATCCCCTCCCATGATACCTTCGGTGAGGTTTTCTCCCGGTTGGATCCGGAACGGTTCCAGGAGTGCTTCATGGAGTGGAGCCAGGGGGTGGCGGAGTTGCTGCCCGGGGAGGTCGTGGCCATCGACGGCAAGACGGCGCGGCGTTCCCACGACACCCGAGCAGGCAAGGGGGCCCTTCACCTGGTCAGCGCCTGGGCTTCGGCCAACACTTTGACCCTGGGACAGGTGAAGACGGAGGAGAAGTCCAACGAAATCACCGCCATACCCAGGTTGCTTGAGCTGTTGGAACTGAATGGGTGCATAGTCACCATTGACGCCATGGGCGGCCAGAAGGAGATTGCCCAGAGCATCCTGGAACAGGGAGCCGACTATGTGCTGGCGGTGAAGCAGAACCAGGGACGACTGCACGAGGACTTGAGGGACCTGTTTGAGGAAGCCGAGGCAACGGGTTTTGAGGGTGTCCCCCACGACTATGCCACCACGCTGAACAAGGGGCACGGACGCCTGGAACGGAGGGAGTGCTGGGCCATCAGCGATCCAGACTGTCTGGACTATCTGAGCACTGGTAAGGAGTGGCCTGGGTTGCGCTCGGTGGTGAAGGTAGTGGGCCGTCGGGAAGCGGAGACCGGGGTCACCGTGCAACCCCGCTACTTCATTAGCAGCCTCGATGTGAATAACCAGGAACATAAGGCCAGGAAAAGAAGATTTGTGTTGTTGTCCAGCGATTACGTCCCCTGTTTTGAAAAGCGAAAATGTCACCATGGTTAGTCGGCGGCCATCTGGACTTCCTTCAGGGCTTCGGCCTTGGCCCGTTCCTTGGCGCTGAGCAGTTTGGTGGGCGGACTGTCCGCTTTAAGGTATTTCCCGACGGTGTCGCGGGACATGCCCAGTTCCCTGGAGATGGCCCGCAGGGACAGTCCCTGCTTCCTGGCTTTCTGCACCGCCTCCCAGCGGGCCTGCTGGGTGGCAGTAGGCGTACGTCGCAACTGGTGGCGAAGGGGTTTTCCCTTGGCGGCAGCGGCCTTGGCTTTGGCCCGCTTCTCCACCGAGGACTCCAGGTCCGCCAGGAGCTTCCGCTGGTCTCGATCCAGATGTCCGGTGATCCGCTCTTCAGTTGCCTCTGGTCCTTCCGGAGTGGGGAAGGTGCCGCTGCCTTCTCCCCATAATGCCGGGGACCGCAGCGGCGCTTCCTGGTAATCAACGGCCTCCCCCTGGTATCTGATCAACAGTTCCCCATCGGCCCGTTCCAGCAGGTCCACCCGGAGACCGGCATAGGAAGGCCGTTCCTCCCCAGGCAGCAACTGCAGGACCCGCCATTGGTACTTCACCGCGTTATCCCGGGCCACCTTGCGGGTGTGCCTGATGCTGACTGTCTCGGTGAGATCCAGGTCGGCGGGTACCGCCCGGTAAGCTTTCTCGGGCCGCTCCGCCGCCACGGCGAACCGCTTGTTGAACCGGGGCAGATATTCCTGCAGGACGGCATTGGCCTCTTCCATGGTAGTAGCGCCAGCCAGGCGCAGCTCGGTGACCAGCCGGTCCTGGAAGGTGGAGGCCATCCTTTCTACACGGCCCTTGGCCTGTGGTGACATGGCGAAGATCTGCTGGATGCCCAACTCCCGCATCACCCGGGCGAACTGGGTGGACTCGTACAGGACCGGCCCCTGGCGGGCGTTGTACTTGAAGGCGGCGTGGCGATCGCTGTACAGGGCGAGGGGAATCCCCCCACTGCCGGACCAGCCCCTCCAGCAGGACCAGATAGCCCCGCGTGTCCTCGGTGGTATGGAAGACCGCCTGGGCCACAGTGCTGGTGGCGTCGTCCACGGCGAGGAGCAGCACGAACTTGTCTGCCCGGTCCTCCAGCCAGGGATGGGGGCTGCCGTCCACCTGAATAAGCATCCCCTCCTGGGGCATGCGCTTGCGGCGGAACCGGTGCTGCTGCGACCGGCGACTGCGGGGGCTGCCCAGGCCGGCCTTCACCAATATGCGGCGCACCGTGGGACGGCTCAGGTCGATCCCCCTCCCGTTCCTGCAGCAGTTCGGTGAAGTGGCTGTGGTTGGCGCCCGCGTAGCCGTTGCTGGCCAGCTTCACCACGGCGGCCGCGGCGTCTTCTGGCACGGCGTTGTGGGGCCTCCGTCCCCGGTTGCCGTGGGCCAGCGCCGTGACCCCTTCCTTTCTGTAGGCTGCCAGCAGCCGTTTGGTGTGACGCTCACTGATTCCCATGATCTCCGCTGCCAGCCTTATCGAAAGGTGCTGTTCCAGCACGGTGTTGAGTACCTGGATTCTTGCCTGTTCTCGCTGTTTCAATGTCACTTCCCTCATGGGGTGACTGCGATGATTGACCCGAGCCACCTCGGCTCAGGTCTGACCCTTGGGGTGACTGGCTGTCGTGCCTTCAAAATGATCTGTCGACTTGGCGCCGGGGTGGCTTAAAGAGTGAAAAGGTTCAGGTGAGCAGTGACCTAATAGGAGCTTGGCCTCAGGCCCCATCGCAGTCTTGTCCGCTCATCTGGCCTGTGTGTCACCCAGCAGGAGGTAGAAATGACTGGCGCCGTAAGATACGAAAAGGGGATCTCCGACCAGATTATTGTAGGAGTCGATACTCACCAGGAGCGGCACGTGGCCGTGGCCATTGACCGGCTGGGCGTCCGCCTGGACCAGCAGGAAGCGCCAGCAACCACGTGCGGGTATCAGGAAATCGAGCGGTGGGCCCAAGGCATAGGCCGGGTCCGTGCTTTCGGAATTGAAGGCACGGGTTCCTACGGCGCTGGGGTAGCCCGCTTCTTGACCGGCCGGGGCCATGCCGTTGTCGAGGTCAACCGGCCTGACCGGTCAACACGCTATCGGAAGGGAAAGAGCGACCCCACCGACGCGGAGATGGCGGCACGGGCCGTGCTCGCCGGAGTGGCCAATGCTACCCCCAAGACAGGCCAGGGCGAAGTGGAAATGATCAGAATGCTCAAGGCGGCCAAGGACTCGGCCATCAAAGCCCGCACCCAGGCCGTCAACCAGATGAAGGCTCTGCTGATCACGGCTCCTGCCGCGCTTCGGGAAAGCCTGGAGGGTCTCGCCGTGGGTGCATTGGTCACCAGGTGCAAGAGCCTCCGGCCCGGTCCCTTAGTGGATCCTACGGCGGCGGCCAAGTACACTCTTCGCTCCCTTGCCTGCCGATACCGTCAACTCCGCGACGAGATCAAGGAACTGGAAGCCCACCTGCAGCGACTGACCAAGACCGCGGCGCCAGCCTTGGTGGGTATCTACGGCGTCGGGCCTGACACGGCGGCCACCCTGCTGGTCACTGCCGGCAGCAACCCGGAACGCCTCCACTCCGACGCTGCCTTCGCAGCGCTGTGCGGGGTGAACCCCATACCCGCCTCTTCCGGCAAGACCAACCGGCACCGGCTGAACCGGGGTGGAGACCGTCAGGCAAATGCCGCCCTCCACCGCATCGTCGTGGTCAGGCTGCGCTACGACCACCGGACCAGGGCATATATGCTTCGCCGGACCGGGGAGGGACTGAGCAAAACAGAGGTCATTCGTTGCCTGAAACGCTACGTCGCCCGCGAAGTCTTCGCAGCTCTCAGGAACTCGGCTCTAATCCCCCAATATGCTACTTG